TATTGAGGGTTATGAAATCTGTAATGTTTTGGTTTAAATAAACAGTGTTCTGGTGTCGGGACAAATCGAATTACTACTGGTAATGATTAAAATTACTTATATTGAGGTTTAAGATTTTAGTCATTGGTAGTTTAACAAAAAAGTTACTGTTTTCACTTAAAATTTAGTAAAAGTTTTAGTAATTTTCTTGTGTTTTGTAATTTTTATTAGTTTAAAAAAAATGTAAATAGTTTTTGTTCATTTGAATTTTTTACACTGAAAAAAAATACATTTACTAGAACATTTCTAGTAAATTTCACAAATAACTACAAGGAAATGGCAAGTTATGCTGAATTTTTAAGTAGAAAAAATAAAATAATTTTCTTGTAAAATGTACAACAAATAAGAATTATACTTTTATGAATAATAATATGTGTAATAGTTTCGAGAAGTCCTTTTTTTACATTGTAGTTTTTTTCTAGCTAACGATAATATAAGTTTAAGTTTTTTATATTTTTATTTCAGTAAATGTGTATTTTGTTTCAAGTAAGAATATGTTTTTATAGTTTTAGTTAATGATAAAACCCTATAATGTTGCCAGTTTTGTTTGAGCTCATTTTGAGGAATATAATTTTGTTCCCTTTCATGGGAACTTCGAACTGCGTCCTCTAGGGGTCGCTATGGGGAACGCCTCGTCGTGACCCGTGTCTGAAGCATACATTGGGGTCGCCCTGAGGGGTTTCCCAATCACCAGGATATCCCCCCTTGCTGAGGTATCGAGCGGGAGGCGTAGGTGGCATTACGAGAACCTTCCTGTGTAAATGCTGTCGTTTAGTGCTCCCTCATCTTTGAGGGTTGTATTTGAGCTTGCCTCTCCCGTTTGGCCCAGTACTTCCGGGTATCTGTAAACAGATGCTTGGAAAACGCTAAATCCAAAAACTATGGTAAGTGCACACGTTAAGCTTTGCGCACTTTTCTACAAATCCACATAAGTGGTAAATGTGCACGTTATGCTTTGCGCACTTTCTAAAATCCACATAGCTGGTAAGTGTGGTAACTTTTCTAAAATCCTGTATGGTAAGGGTTACGCGTTATTGATATCGTTCTCTTTGGAACGAGACACTGCGTCCTCTAGGTTTCTTGCCATGCTGCGGACGCAAGCTTCAGACGAAGAAGTGAATGATGTAATGCTCCGGGCGCCTATTTATACTATAGTCGCACCGGTAGTGATGTCATGGCTGTCGCCGGCCAACGAGTTGGTGTTTTTTCAATGTATGCTTCAGACACGGGTCACGACGAGGCGTTCCCCATAGCGACCCCTAGAGGACGCAGTGTCTCGTTCCCTACTCAGGGAGCCATGGTTACATAAGTAACCCGAGACGTTCTGTATGATCCAGTCAATCAAAAGAGACCAAATGTTCAAAGCAAGAATAGCACTGTTTGATATGTGGTGATCAGTAGGTGGCGCTGTAGAGCAGATGCAGCCTCGCTGCGGTGTGAGTCTGTAAGGAATCAGTGAATCTGCTGCTGGTTCTGATGGTGAAGGAGCTTGAGCAGGTTCTGTTGCAGATCATTTGCTCGTGTGAAGCAGACGCATGTCTTCAGATGTCACGCAGACGCTGCAGTTTCTGGAAACACCTCTGCTAGACTGGCACGCATGTGTGTTTGTGCCGACGGTAACTGTTGAAGATGAGAGCGTGTGTCTGACAGGCTGCGGTGTGGCGTTACAAACCCACTCAGCCGATGTCCTGCTCACCTCCCATCATCCCAGTGTCCCCTGAGACTCGTGGGCCGGCCGAGTGGGAGCGAGAGAAGACATTCGAGCCATCGAGGCGCGTTTCAAACCTCACGACTGACGAACATGGAGATGCTCTTACAGCTTGAATGTGAACTAGTTCAGCTGAACATCAACATACTGTCGTATCTTATACTGTCATAGAGTTTCTGAAAAGTCTGCTCTTGTCTTCATATTTGGGTTCCACGAAGCAGAGATTTTAACATTCTTGACAAAGTAGCATTAAAGTTCTGTGTGTGTTTGTGATTTAAAGGGACAGTTCACCCTTAAATGAAAATGTGCTGTTAATTTACTCATCCTCAGGCCATCCAAGATGACTTCGTTTTCTTCAGTAGAACAGTAAAGAAGATTTTTAGCTGAAAGCGTGGTTCTCTGTGAATCATAAAATGCAAGTCAATGGCTACCGTCACTTTGAGAGTCAAAAACACATCGACAGGCAACACAGAATTAATACCTGTGGCTCCTGATGATATATCGAGGTCTTATGAAGAGAAACGATCAGTCTGTGCAAGAAACTGAACATTATTTACAGCATTATTAACTGTAATCCAGAGCCTCAGGCAAACGGTCCGGAGTGATGTTCGGTTCACGAACTCAGACAAACAGTCTGGAGTGATGTTCGGTTCACGAACGAATCATTCTTTTGAACTGATTCTTTTTAGTGAACTAGTTGAATCAGTTCATTGAATCGGACTGAATCGTCTGAATCAGTTTGCAGCTCGAGCAGCACAGATCTACAAGTTACTGAATCAGAACTCACTTTCAGACGCCTGACAGTCACTCTGATTCCAAATGAGCCGAAATACTGTTGTCTCTGATCCTGTGATGAATGAATCATTCAGTGCTGAGGAAACAGTTCGACTCGGACCGAAGACCGAGGAGCTGCTGATCTGAGCATGTGTGAACCCAACACGTGAATGAAGGCGTCAAATGAAGGTTTTTATAATTTCTCATGGTTTATGTAAAACAGTGAGCTGATGAAGACGAGTTTATTCACTTTATATGCTCTAGACACATAAAACATCCACGTTTCACAACATTATTGGGTGCTTTAATAATATAATTGAGCAAATGTTATGTCATAGGGCGATAGAAAATACAGTTTGTACAGTATAAAAACCATTACGCCTATGGAGAGTCCCCGTAAA